GACTAACAAAAAGGAACACATCAGATCAACTGGATCACTCACAAAGCCCTGGTTTACACACATTTTTATTGTAACAATTTAACTATTTTAGATAAGGATGTGGATTATTTTAACAATAATAGCTAAATTATACAGGAATAAGATATACTGGTATCTGCACCTGTATATGCTAAATTTTTCACACTGGAAGGCTGTACAGCTTTAACTATACTGGTTTCAAACCTATATAGTGAAAGTGGCACAAAAACTGTGTGTAGACAAGTGCTAAGGGTTATTTCACCTTGGGGACTGGGCCCTATGCTTAGACAGGTTTCACTTGGGAGAAAGATCAGGGGTTCAAAAGTTAGAGGAAGGAGAGCCCACTGAGGAGGGGAGGGATGGGAAGGAGGAAGGGAATGTGATGGCGCAGAAGGGATGGCACTTAATATTTTAAAACTACTTCAGCAAAAGTTAAGTGTTAGGTACTGAATGCCCTACATCAAAAGGGAATTCAGTCTATAAACTTACTTTTTTGTTTCAGAGCCCATTAAGACTAAACTACAGCTGACACTCCACTCAATGCTGTCATGTCACGTACCACAGGTCACCATAGGACCCTGCATTATTTTATTTTTTTTAAGTATTTGGAGTGAGTTTAAAAAAAATCAATTTTATAATCTCAATACTAGAAAATAAAACAAATGCAATAAATAATGTATCCAAAAATAAACGTCTCTGATTTCCCTTCCTACCCTAACCACTCTCCAATAGGCTGGTTTCACCCTCCAGTAACATTCTGTGGCACCTTTAGGTGCAGCATAATGTATGAGTGGGCTTCCAAAGAATAAACTTTCCAGGACCTAAAAAGGGAAGACGTTAATCTCCAGTTGTTTAAAAGGGTATCCTGTCAGGTTAAAAATAATATATTTTTACAAAAACAAATTTCCTTGCCTGTGATAGCAGTATCATCTTAAGATTCAGCCCTGCAACTCACCTTGCCCCTGCTACCCTGCAGAACAACACTGAACTCAGAGGGGTGTGGTGCAGGTGCCGCAGTGTACCTGTGAGCAGTGAACTATCCAATCAGGCTCATCCAGTTCAGTCTTGTTTCTATTCAATTTCTATGCATTAGCAGATTGCTGCAGTGTTTGCTATGTACAATTTGCTAAGGATGTTTATTTAAAAAAAATTTCCCCGGGGTTTTTTAAAATTACATGGAAATATTACTATTGGTCTCAAGTATTGCAAAAGATTATAATTTTATAAAATTTTAAACTTGGACCAACTTTTATCTAATGGAATCCCTCTTGACACTGTCTACGCTAAACTTTGAAATGTTTGAAAACCAAAGCCCTAATCCTGCAACGAGCTTCACTGATTTATTTATTTAGCATTTGAGTATTCACAGAGCCAAGCAATAGCGTTCTTAGTGGCCAAGTGGAGCTCTCGGAAACCATCGTTGAATTTGGTTAGTGGGCATTCCTCAACAATATGTATCGTTTGATCTGCATCACAGCTACAGCGTGGATTGTCTCAAAGACCCCAATGGTGCCGGTTGCCTGTACAAAGTCTTTGCCCAGTTTGGAATCACTTAAGAAGGACCCATTGACAATATGGCAGGTCGAAGCTGAAAGGTGAGCAGTAGGGTCTATGATGAGGAACTGATTGGTGGTTGGTATTAAGTACCAGTCTTCCCACCACAGGGACTCTGCTGTCACATCCTTTCATGGCAGCCTCAACCACCATGGTGTTGCAATGGAAGACGTGTAGCTGGTGGGTTAAAGGGGTCATTGAACATACATTCTCAAGCAGCTCGCCAGCTGCAATCTCTCCTGATGTAAGGGGGAGCAATGTGCCTCAGAACTGGAAGTCATGGAAGATGAGTGGGTCAGAGAATTCCTGTGATAATGCGCATTGTTGAGTTGAGTTGCACATCAACAAGCTTGGTGTGTGTCAACTGACTCCATACTGGTGCACAGTACTCTACTACTAAATACCAGATGGCAAGGGCTGAGGTCCTTAGTGTTGGAGCACCCGCTCCCCATAAAGAACCAGACAGTTTGCTGACAAGGTTGTTGCATGTCTTGACCTTTGCAGCTATCTTGCTCAGGTGGCTTCTGTATGACAGCATTCGGTTGAGGGTCATCGGTCAAGGGTAAGTGAGTTCCACGCAGGCTCATGAGTCCAGCCATATGGAGCTTACTGATGGATTGGGACTCCAAGTTGAAATAATTTTAAACACTGTTACAGCTAAATCAGTTTCAGATATGGTTTGGCAATGAACATAGGCAAAACCATGCAGAGTAATAATGACTATGCTAGATTTGATTTTTCCACCATGTCTGAGAACAGGTGTCAGAGAGTATTACCCACACCCTCAACCACTGTTGAACGTGACTGAACCTCTCCATGCTCATGAAGCAACTGAGTTCAGCACCATGGCATACTGGCCACTTATTGTGGAACACAGTCTAAAATGCAAGAAATTGCAATTAGTATCCCAAAATTTGCTAAGGGAGGATTCCTGGAACCCACCCTTATCCTTATTATCCTTATATGCTTGCTATCCTATACATTCCTTTTTTTTCCTTAATGAGGGGCTTTCTGTGCTCAAACTTCTTTACAAATGTAACCTTTATTATCCCCATATTAAAGATGAGATAACTGATGCACAGAAAAGTTAAGTGACTTGCCCAAGTCCACAGAGTGGCAGAATATAGAATAAAGCCCAAGTCTTTTGACTCCCAGCCTTATATCAGCCCACTAGACTGACTAAACCATAGCTTCCTAACTGTTTTCTATTAACTCTCCTTCAGTCTTTGACACATTCCTTCCATGTAATTGACATGTCTACAGGCCCAACTGAATTTCAGTTATGTGATTATTACAACAGTTTCAAATCCAGTCTAGGTGGGACCTTAACCATGTTCTGTAATACCAGGTTATATAATCAGATTAAAATCCCATCTGCACGACAGATTGGAATAGTTATAATCAGGTTCCCTGACTCAGAATTGTAGCTTACACAGGACCTGTCTCCTCAAATCACTCTCTGACCTCTCAATCACTCTACTTGTTTTGATTTGGTAACTATTGAATACTCTGTAATTAATACAACTGAATTAATGTTTCAATGACTAAACTCACACTTCTTTGACTATGGTCAATATAAATCCCCATTTATTTGAGGGGAAAACTCATTACCATGGGCTGTGCAAACACATGAAGAAAAACAGTAGGTCAAAGTCCGGCCCTTCACTCTATCCCTCAGCCAGAGAAAACTGAACTATTAAATGCTTATATGTTAATGAACCCTTTTTTATGTACTTTTGTACAGTTTTGACAGATTTGTTTTGAACAAATGCTTTTACCCTTACTGCTCATTACCTCTATTTTAATTGTTCCTCCTTTTGAAGTCAGTCTTGAATTTTGACCTCTCCATCCTGCTTGACAATACACTGAACAGAAAAATTTAATTTAATTGTAAGTTCTAGAAAGAGAAGCTATGTACTGATAGAAAAAACTGTTACTGCAATAGAAGTGTTCCTACTAGCAGCAAGGGAGATCTAGGAAAATGTCAGGCCAAGAAATGGACTAAGTTTGTTGTTGTTAAAGTCTTCTTTAATTAAAGTCCCTTTTAATTATAAAAACTACATTGACCCTTATTCCTCATCTTAAATAGTGTTATCTAGTTGCTTTCCAAATTAACTAAAATTACATATAGTTTAAAGCTATCAACAAGAGCAAGGACCAATCATTCTCTGTCAACACAGGCACAATCATAGGCTAAGTTTAGAGCTGTCAACTTGCTCTCATTTGAAGAAGTGACACTGCAACTTCGTGAGTTCTACCGCCACCATCCAAACCAGACATATACTCCAGCCTTTATCCCCAGAGAACTGGGGCAAAACAAAACAAAAAGGAGAGATAGGTCGGGGGAAAGGGTTTTGTAGAAAGAAGTTCTAAAAACTTTCCTGGCGCGACCCCTCGGTGAGATCTGTGCGCGACGACAGCACTAGAGAAAAACGCGCTGAGAAATGGAAATCGCGCTCTCGGGCTTGCAGTTGCTTTGTGCGCCGCTGACCTGGCACGCGAATGCGGTGTCGTTTGGGAGACAAAAACTCTCCTGCCTTTTCTGGGGGTAACTACGAGCGGGGGCGCTGCAGGAGCAAGGGCTGCCTCACTCGAGCGAGCCCCTTTTCACACATTGGTGGAGCAGGGGAGCTAGTCACCGCGCACACAGCAGGCAGCTCTGCAGCCCCCTGAGGCGTCCGCGCGCAAACATGGCCGTCGCTGGCCAGGGAAACGCCTTCGGCGCGGGGAGGGGAAGGGACGCTCCCAAAGGACAGAGCTGCCTGTTGCTTGATGGAACCAAGCGACAGCCGCCGTGGGGCGCAGGGGGTCATTTCCCCGCCTCTCACGCAAGGCCCGACCACCACCCGGAATAACCCGCCGCACACACAGCACCTCCGCCCGCCAGCGCAAACCACGAGGCAGAGATGGGGTCTGCCGGGCTGGGCTGAGCCGCTTTGGCAGCAGCGGCGCTTAGGGACCTAGTTCCGGGCAGGGAACAGCGGGTTAGGCTCAGCCAGCGCCGCTGAGAAGTGGCTTTATAGGCGGGGAGGGCCCGAGCGGCTCCGCTTCAGCTTCTTCCACACAGACGTATTTCAAATCTTAACGGCTGCTGCTCTGCCAGTTTTTGAATGAGGAAGCAGAGCAGGAGCAGGGCCTAGCGCTGCGCCACCTCCAGGGCTGACGGGAACTGAGGAGGAGACTCTTGCCTGTTCAGCGGAGGAGAACGCAGTTACCAATCTTGCCCCGCCCCCATCAGATGGAGGGGGGCAGCCTCATAAACGTATACAGCGGCCCTCCAGGCCCACCGCAAGCCCTACTCGCGCGGTGCATTTGGGGAGCTGTAGTTTTTCAGCCCTCCCCGCCCTTGCCGACGCTGCAATGATAGAAACTACAGCTCCCATGAGCCCCCTGAGGCGGGAGCCCGCATGCGCATTGCGGAGCGGAGCCGCAGGCTGGGTGCTGCTGTTGTTACATAGGAAACAGCTGAAAAGTCCCCACATGACAGTGGGGGAAGGAGGAAGCGGGGTGACCCGGGGGATGGACGTGGCTTTTACAGAGTGAGGCGCTTGGCCGCCGCAAGGAGTCCCCCAGCAGCCTCGGGCCCCGACTCGAGTGGCGGGGGGCCGAGCGGAGATCTCGCTGTGCCCCTTGAAGGAGCCCTTGTTTGCCCTTGGGGGAGGGGTTGTGCCCCCTGTTGCGGGGGCTCTGTCTGCCGGGAGCCAGGGGGACGGAGGTGACCCTCCAGGGGAGGATCGTGCCCCCTGTAGGGGACGCTGCCTCTCTCAGGGGCGGCTGCCGATGGGGCAGGTTTAAATCCCTCCCTTGCAGCCAAGCGCACAGACAGCGGGGAAGTTTGATTCAGTCCGGGCGGCAGGGACGGATCCTGCTCCTCTGCCGGACAAAGGGGCGGCGCAGGCGGGTGAGGAGCCCGGGCGGGTCGGTGGCTTCCTCTGCTGGGATCGGGACACTGCTGGGGCAATGAACGGGTTCGCCCCCGAAGAGGTGACCCAGAGAGGGGGGGATGCTGTCGCCGCCACCGTCGTTGCTGCTGTTGTGGCCAATGCAGCCGCCACCGTGGAGGTGCCGGCGCCGGGGTTAGGTCCTGGCGCTGCCGCAGGTGCCGCCGGTTCCGCAGGGCCCCCCGGTGGTGCTGGCCCTGGGGCTGGGCAGCTGTGCTGCCTGCGAGAGGAAGGTGAGAGGTGCAGCCGAGCCGCCGGTAACGCCAGCTTCAGCAAGAGGATCCAGAAGAGCATCTCACAGAAGAAGGTGAAGATCGAGCTGGACAAGAGCGTAAGTGACGGAAAACCCCCTCCCCAAGTCCGCTGTCGCTGCGCGCCTCTGGGGCAGAGGGAGGGTGCCCGGGGCCGGGCGTGAGGGGCAGTCAGGGCCGGCCAGTGAGTGAGTCTCCTCTCTTCCTGCAGTGCGCTCATCGTGGCAGGCGGTCACGGCTACTCCTGCGGGGTCACCGGCCCCGAGCGCCCCCAAGGCAAGGAGATCCGCGGCTGGTGGGAGCCCTCCCGTGTGGGGGTATCGGGGAAGCGCCTTGGGGCTTCTGTTGTCGCTATTGACGGGACAATGTGTCTGAGGCGCCGCGTTGCAGCTCTCCGCGCAGGGCGCACTGCACAATCGCTCACCCCCTTCCCGGAGCCTTACTCCGGCCTCAAGAGTCACCCCCACAAAGGCTTAAACTACTTCCCCCTTCCGCGCCGCAACGAGTGTGAGACTTCTGTGTTAAACGGTGTTGGGCTTTGCCCTTGGTACGATCGGCTGACGCTGGAAGAGTGAGTGAAGCTTAAACTGCTTCTGCTCAGTGTAATGGGGGAGGAGGGGAAAGAGACTCCTGCTTTTTCTTCCTCTTCCCGTCTTCTCCCTCCGGAAAAGTCAGGCTGGTATTCCAGAGGGAGGCTGTTTGTCCAGCTGCCCCCCTACTGCAGGAGAAGCTGGGGGCTGCACGTCCCGCCCGCCGCCCTTCCAGAGCAGGGACTCTGCATGTTTGTGTGGCTGACTCTAGTGAGGGCAGCACACTTGGCCGCTCAGCCGCGTGTTGTAATGCTGCGCGTCTCTCTTTGCCACCGTGTCTTCCGCTTGGCAGCCATCAGGCTCTTCGTAGTGCTCCTCTGTCTGTACGAGAAATCGCCACAAGCTTGTGTCACTGTGCGCAGGCAGGACGAGCCCCTGTCTCCCTTCCCCAGTCTGCTGAGAAAGAAACACCCTTTGGTAGCAGATAGATTTCTAAGATTCAGAGCAGTGTTAATCTGCAGAGCAAATGTCTGCCGGTTTCCTTCCCTAATGAGTACTGAAATGCACGAGTATTTGAAAAGGCGATTTATTTTTACTTGACACAGCAGAAGTGTTAGGCGATGCTGCCCCAAAAAAGGGCTTCTAATATGCTTGTTACAGTTACCATCCTCAAGAGATTGTGTAAACTCATGGGAAAAATGGGTTTGGGAAAAATGGTTGCTAATTTGTATTTGTGCTTCTGTTGGTGGTTGGGAGCTTTCTCTTTGAATCATGGTTTATGAGAGAGCTCTTGTGAAGTAAACTTAAGCGAACTCTAAATGGGCAAAGAAAGCTCTTTTGCATTAACAAAAGGAAAAGCTTAGGACTCCAATGTTTCGGTTTATATGTGTAAAGAAATTTCATTTAGGCCTCCAATTTGTTTTTATCATCCCAAATTTAACTTTCTAAGTGCTTTATTCCCACCCCCACAGCTCCAGTTGAAGCCAGTGGGAGCTACTGGTGCACAGTAGCCCTATGTGTATGTATATATTTCCTCTATAAAAGAACTTCTTGCCCGATTTTTTCAAGTATTTAGGCACTTAACTACTGGCCCTTAATCTCAAAATGAGCTAATTCCTAGAAAAAGGAAATTAAAAAAAAAAATAGATGTATAAGTCCTTTATTTACAATGACTTTTCATGGACGGTGGAAGTAAAACTAAGGAAAGTGAGACCGCTGAAATCTTGCTTTTTTGTCCATTTAACAGAACTGCAAAGTAATTTTCATACCCCATTCCCTGCATTCTGATGAATAATGTAAGAGGGCTGTACTTGGCTCTCTCTACAGCCAGTTAATACCAATTTTGAATTGACTCACTGCAGCAGTACAGTGATACAAGGAGTTTTCTAGGCCAAATGGGATGCAGTAAGTTATAGCATACCAAATTTTATCTTGTGGGTTCTGGTAGAAGCAGAATTCTTAAACTCTAGTTAATGTCACCAGAACCTCTTGATGGATATACTTCATGGTAAATTACTGCAACGTGTAATTTGCATTATCATGTATTTCCTGGATGTTAGACTAGTGTGGAATTGTGTTTAAAACATACACTGCTACTTTTTTAGGCAAGACATCTTTATATTTGTGACTTCCACAAAAACTTAATTCAGAGTGTGCGAAACAGAAGAAAGAGAAAAGGCAGTGATGATGATGGTGACTCACCAGTACAAGACATCGACACTCCAGAGGTAGCTGAATAGTTGTCCTGGCTATTGTCATGTAAAGCTTGTTCTTGATTGCTACCAAGTCTGTGTTAATGCAATTTTTTCCAATGTTAATTTGTTCAAGGGGCGGGAGAGAGCGCCTGTTTCACGCACTTCATTAATATTTATGTAATATTTTAATGTTTCTGTATTAGTTGTAATATAATTATATATTCTAAGATATTAACATATATAATTTAATTGATAGATATGTTTTCATTTTATTTTACACACAGTATTTTTCCCAGAAAAGAAAGTTGGAATTATATATATACCAATTTTAACTTTGATAAAGATTTCTCCTTCATGACATTTTCTCCACAGATTCCCAGTGTAGGAGCCATGTGCTTAGCCATGCAGTACCAGAACTATTTTTGAGTAGGAATTGGCAGTTAGAGGGCATACTTAATTCCCGTGATTCCTAACATTGCAGGAGATGGCAGATTAATGTAGGAAAATGGAGTTTAAAAGGCAATCATCTTGACTTGCTATGTTCTTCATTTCATAGATTCTAGGGCTGGAAGGGACCTCTAGAGGTCATCGAGTTCAGTCCCCTGCCCTCATGGCAGGACCAAATACTGTCTAGACCATCCCTGATAGACATTTATCTAACCTACTCTTAAATATCTCCAGAGATGGAGATTCCACAACCTCCCTAGGCAGTTTATTCCAGTGTTTAACCACCCTGACAGTTAGGAACTTTTTCCTAATGTCCAACCTAAACCCCCCTTGCTGCAGTTTAAGTCCATTGCATCTTGTTCTATCCTTAGAGGCTAAAATGAACAAGTTTTCTCCCTTCTGTTTATGACACCCTTTTAGATACCTGAAAACTGCTATCATGTCCCCTCTCAGTCTTCTCTTTTCCAAACTAAACAAACCCAATTCTTTCAGCCTTCCTTCATAGTCATGTTCTCTAGACCTTTAATCATTCTTGTTGCTCTTCTCTGGACCCTCTCCAATTTCTCCACCTCTTTCTTGAAATGCGGTGCCCAGAACTGGACACAATACTCCAGTTGAGGCCTAACCAATGCAGAGTAGAGTGGAAGAATGACTTCTCGTGTCTTGCTCACAACACACCTGTTAATGCATCCCAGAATCATGTTTGCTTTTTTTGCAACAGCATCACACTGTTGACTCATATTTAGCTTGTGGTCCACTATAACCCCTAGATCTCTTTCTGCTGTACTCCTTCCTAGACAGTCTCTTCCCCTTCTGTATGTGTGAAACTGATTTTTTTCTTCCTAAGTGGAGCACTTTGCATTTGTCTTTATTAAACTTCATCCTGTTTACCTCAGACCATTTCTCCAACTTGTCCAGATCATTTTGAATTATGACCCTATTCTCCAAAGCAGTTGCAATCCCTCCCAGTTTGATATCATCTGCAAACTTAATAAGCATACTTTCTATGCCAATATCTAAGTCGTTGATGAAGATATTGAACAGAGCCGGTCCCAAAACAGACCCCTGCGGAACCCCACTTGTTATACCTTTCCAGCAGGATTGGGAACCATTAATAACTACTCTCTGAGTACGGTATCAGAGGGGTAGCCGTGTTAGTCTGAATCTGTAAAAAGCAACAGAGGGTCCTGTGGCACCTTTAAGACTAACAGAAGTATTGGGAGCATAAGCTTTCGTGGGTAAGAACCTCACTTCTTCAGATACTTGCATCTGAAGAAGTGAGGTTCTTACCCACAAAAGCTTATGCTCCCAATACTTCTGTTAGTCTTAAAGGTGCCACAGGACCCTCTGTCTCTGAGTACGGTTATCCAGCCCGTTATGCACCCTCCTTATAGTAGCCCAATCTAAGTTGTATTTGCCTAGTTTATTGACAAGAATATCATGTGAGACCATATCAAATGCCTTACTAAAGTCTAGGTCAGGGGTCTCAAACTAGAATCACCAGGAGGGCCACATGAGGACTCGTACGTTGGCCCGAGGGCCGCATCACCCGCCTCCCGCTGTCCCCGGCCCTGCCCCCCCCATTCCACCCTTGCCCCTGCCTGCGGGGTGCAGCAGGGGGCTCAGGGCAGGGGGTTGGGGTGCAGGAGGGGCATGGAGTGTGGCAGGGGGCTCAGGGCAGGGGGTTGGGGTGCAGGAGGGGCATGGGGTGTGGCAGCGGGATCACAGCAGGGGGTTGGGATGCAGGAGGGAGTGTGGGGTGTGGCAGGAGGTTGGGGTGCAGGCAGGAGGCTCAGGGCAGGGAGTTGGGGTGCAGGAGGGGTTCGGGTTCCGGCCCGGTGCCAGTTACCTGGAGCGGCTCTGGGGTGGCAGGGGCGCGCATCAGGGCCAGGGTAGGCTCCCTGCCGGCCCCGTGCCACTCCGCTCCGGGAAGAGGCAGGCACCGCGTCCCTGCGGCCCCGAGGGGAGGGGGAGCAGAGAGCTCCCTGCACTGCTCTTGCCTACAGGTACCTCTCCCAAAGCTCCCATTGGCCACGGTTCCCCGTTCCCGGCCAATGGGAGTTTCAGGGGAGGTAACCACAGGCAACAGCAGTTCACGGAGCTCTCTGCGCCCCCTCTCCCCAGGGCCACAGGGACGGGGTGTCCACGGCTTCCCGGAGCAGCGCGGGGCCCTCAACACCATGGGGTTGGCAAATCCGCAGGCCGGATCCAAAGCCCTGAGGGGCCGGATCCGGCCGGTGGGGGAGGACGGGGGACAACGTGGCGCGCTGGGGAGGGGACGAGGGGGGGCAGCGGGGAGCTTGGTGGGCCACAGGGAAGAACCCCGCGAGCGGTGTGTTTGAGACCCCTGCTCTAGGTATACCACATCCACCGCTTCTCCCTTATCCACAAGACTTGTTATCCTATCAAAGAAAGCTATCAGATTGGTTTGACATGATTTGTTCTTTACAAATCCATGCTGGCTATTCCCTATCACCTTACCACCTTCCAAGTGTTTGCAGATGATTTCCTTAATTACTTGCTCCATTATCTTCCCTGGCACAGAAGTTAAACTAACTGGTCTGTACTTTCCTGGGTTGTTTTTATTTCCCTTTTTATAGATGGGCACTATATTTGCCCTTTTCAAGTTTTCTGGAATCTCATCTGTCTCCCATGATTTTCCAAAGATAATAGCTAGAGGCTCAGATACCTCCTCTATTAGCTCCTTGAGTATTCTAGGATGCATTTCATCAGGCCCTGGTGACTTGCAGGCATCTAACTTTTCTAAGTGATTTTTAACTTGTTCTTTTTTTATTTTATCTTCCAAACCTAACCGCTTCCCATTAGCATTCACTATGTTAGGCATTCCTTCAGACTTCTCGGTGAAGACCGAAACAAAGAAGTCATTGAGCATCTCTGCCATTTCAAAGTTTCCTGTTACTGTTTCTCCCTCCTCACTGAGCAGTGGGCCTACCCTGTCCTTGGTCTTCCTCTTGCTTCTAATGTATTGATAAAAAGTCTTCTTGTTTCCCTTTATTCCTGTAGCTAGTTTGAGCTAATTTTGTGCCTTTGCCTTTCTAATCTTGCCCCTGCATTCCTGTGTTGTTTGCCTATATTCATCCTTTGTAATCTGTCCAAGTTTCCATTTTTTATATGACTCCTTTTTATTTTTTTAGATCATGCAAGATCTTGTGGTTAAGCCAAGCTGGTCTTTTGCCACATTTTCTATCTTTCCTACCCAGCGGAATAGCTTGCTTTTGGGCCCTTAATAGTGTCCCTTTGAAATACTGCCAACTCTCCTCAGTTGTTTTTCCTTGATTCCCATGGGACTTTACCTATCAGCTCTCTGAGCGTACCAAAATCCGCCTTCCTGAAATCCATTGTCTCTATTTTCCTGTACTCCCTTCTACTCTTCCTTAGAATTGTGAACTCTATGATTTCATGATCACTTTCACCCAAGCTGCCTTCCACTTTCAAATTCTCAGCGAGTTCCTCCCTATTTGTTAAAATCAAATCTAGAACAGCTTCCCCCAGTAGCTTTTTCAACCTTCTGAAATAAAAAGTTTTCTGCAATGCAGTCCAAGAACTTATTGGATAGTCTGTGCCCTGCTGTGTTATTTTCCCAACATATACACCTCTACCTCGATATAATGCGACCCGATATAACACAAATTCGGCTATAACGCGGTAAAGCAGTGCTCCGGGGGGGCGGGGCTGCGCACTCAGGTGGATCAAAGCAAGTTCAATATAACGCGGTTTCACCTATAACACGGTAAGATTTTTTGGCTCCCGAGGACAGCGTTATATTGAGGTAGAGGTGTATCTGGATAGTTGAAGTCCCCCATCACCACCAAATCTTGAGCTTTAGATGATTTTGTTAGTTGTTTAAAAAAAGCCTCATCCACCTCTTCCACCTGGTTAGGTGGCCTGTAGTAGACTCCTAGCATGACATCACCCTTGTTTTTTACCCCTTTTAGCCTAACCCAGAGACTTTCAACACTTCCGTCTCCTAGGTCCATCTCCACCTCAGTCCAAGTGTGTACATTATTAAATATAAGGCAACACCTCCTCCCTTTTTCCCCTGTCTAGGTAATCAGATGGGCATTACCTGGGAAAGAGCACTCAGCTGGAGGCTGTGATGCCTGTGAGACTTTCTCCAAAAGGCCCCCAAAAGCACTTTTAAGACTCTGCTTCAGAACTTGCTCCTTCAAGTGGTGTTGGCAATCCATATGTCCTGAGGGGGTATGTCTACACTGCAGTTAAACCCCTGTGGCTGGCCCTGACTTAAACAGGGCTGTTTAATTGCAGTGTAGACATTAGGGCTCAGGGGAGAATCCCAGAGCTCAGGTTCCAGCCCGGGCCCCAACATCTGTACTGCAATTAAACAGCCCATAGCCCGAGCCCCGCAAGCCCAAGTCAGCTGACATGGTTCAGCTGCAGGTCTTTAATAGCAGTGTAGACATACCCAAAGTGTCTTCAGGTATTAGTAGTATGGCAAAGATCTTAGTCTTTCAGCTTCCTTTTGTCGTTTTTGTTGAGTCCTGTTTCTCTTCCTTGTAAGATCCATTCATCAGTTAATAGAAAATTTTATCTAAAATTGCCTTTTCATCCACACTCCTGCATCGCATAGATGACTCCACAGTGCTCATGGAACCATAGAATTGATATACTCAGAAACTGATTTTTTTTTTTTTGTTTTCCTGTGGGGTCTGCAGTTCTTGATGCAACTGATCTTGTGCTATGGATTTCTCTGGATCATAAAAAGCAAGTCCCTTGCCAGACTGCTGCAGCTGCACTTCCAAAAGAAGTCTAGGTCAGGAACACATCTGAAGAGCCTCAGTTGTCAACTCTTGACAACACCAGAGTTTCTTACCCAGGTTTTCCTCCATATGGGTATCATGCATCTTAGATGTGTGTGGCTGTATGTTCTTCCACTTGTTGCATCAGTGGCCTCTTGAATACGAAATCAAGGTCTCCTTCGAAGAAGAGGAAGGGTCCTCCTAGGATGCCTTGGCCTCCACCTGAGTTCTCAGGACCAGTAGTTCTTTGTAGTGGCTTCTGCACATTCTCACTGATGGAAAAGGTATCCCCAGCACTGCTAGCTTCTGGAACCTTGTGGAAAGCTTAATCTGCCTTTCTACTCAGGTGGAGTAAAGGCTTCTCAAATCAAATACTGGTTTGGGGAATGGGACTCCCCTGGACAAATCAGATATAACTAGGGCCCTACCAAATTCATGATCCATTTTGGTTAGTTTCACAGTCATAGGATTTTAAAAATTGTAAATTTCATTATTTCAGATATTTAAATCTGAAATTTCATGGTGTTGTAATTGTAAGGGTCCTGATCCAAAAAGGAGTTGTGGGGGAGTCGCAAGGTTATTGGGGGGGGCGGGGTTTGCGGTACTACTGCCCTTACTTCTGCACTGCTGCTGGCAGCGACTGCTTTCAGAACTGGGCAACTGGAGAGCGGCGGCTTCTGGCCGGGAGCCCAGCTCTGAAGGCAGAGCCACCGCCAGTAGCAGTGCAGAAGTAAGGATAGCATGGTACGGTATTGCGCTGCTGCCTGCAGAGCTTGGCGTTCGGCCAAGTAAGGGTGGCAATACCGCGACCCTCCCCTAAAATAACTTTGCAACCCTCCTGCAACTCCCTTTTGGGTCAGGACCCCCAATTTGAGAAACGCTGGTCTCATCTGTGAAATCTGTATAGTATAGGGTAAAAGCACACAAAAGACCATATTTCCTGGGCTGTGACATGTTTTCATAGCCGTGAATTTGGTAGGGCCCTAGATATAACACATAGGCATCTGATTCTGGGAAGACGGGGCAAATGACACACCTCTTCACCATTCTTTGGTTATGGAGGAGCTGTGAGGCTGGCACCATTCTAAGCTTGGCCAGTTTCCAAGTGTGCAAGAGCTCGCCTACTTAGCCTAAAAACTATCATTAAGGTTGCTTCATAGTATTAAGTTAATCACTTCACAATTCTCATGACATCAAGATGTTGGTTTTGGAAGGGCAGTGTTGCAATCATTTTCACTTAGCAGGTCTTCTCAGTCAAACTATCTTCTCAGGGAGGTTACTGCTACAGTGGGGCTGTGTGGTGATCAAGTCAGAAAAGAGGAAAAAGGGGTTTCTTAATAGTAATGTTTGTTCTCTAGGTGATGCCCTCTAAATAGATCTTCTGGGAATAGAGAAACTGAGGGAGCATTGGGCTGAGGTGTGGGTATTTATATCCGTGGCCTATGAAATGTAGGACTTAAGGAGATGCTAACTCCTGATGGACAATAATTCTGTGGGACTCTGGCTATGCACATAACTCCTACATTGTGGCTGTGTAGAGGCAATATATTCACAGATCACGAACAACTGTTCTCTTCTGCCACTCCAAACTAAAGAAACTTATAGCATGCTAGTTTTTTTCAGTCTCCTATTGCACAGATGTTATGGCACAGCTGTACTATTTCTTGTACATCGTGTCTGCAAAGTTTTGACTAATGAAATACTACTATAGGGCATCCTGAGAGCACAGTTCTTGACCTTGCATTAATGATTGACTAGTATTATGCCTTTGCTTGGTCATATTAAAGTCAAACTATGAATGAAAAAATGAAACTGAGCTGAGTCCACAAATTAGTGCCAAATATGACTCTCCACACCTAAGAGGGAGAAAAGGTGTGGTGGACATTCAGCACAGAAATAAGCCTTAACTCTACTTTTAAGTGTCTTTGGGGGAGAGGAGGGAAGATGAGTTCAAAACATTATTCTATGCTGAATGCCTACTAAAGGCTGGCTGGGTCAGCAGGATGATATTTAACATATGCATATCCCAGAAGTGGAGAAACTAGGCTTCTGCCTTCAACTTAGTTTCCATACTTGTTTATTACTTCACCTTTTAAATCATAAGTACATTACGATTAATAACAAATTAATCCTCTCTTTAGCCCAGCTATCTTTAATGATATCCTTCTTCCTTTCTAGGTTGACTTATATCAGTTACAAGTAAACACACTTCGAAGGTACAAAAGACACTTCAAGTTACAGACCAGACCAGGACTTAACAAAGCACAGCTTGTTGAAGTACGTATGAGTGTCTGTTCAGTAGCAGACAATGTAATTTACTATTACTTGTGGCTCTGGAAAATGTGATCCTTACCAACATATTAGCATGAGTAGCATATTCTTGTCTTTAGTCAACTATAAAAGTTATCTATAATTGCCATAGTTAATATACCACTGCATTATAATCAGATTGTATCCTGCGCCACAAACTCTTCTCTTTGCATAAAGAGAACATGTGGATTGGATTGGAAAATAAAATGAAGTTACTTATCTAGTTTCCCCTCAATTATCTGGTCTTTCTGTCCCCAACTCCTAAGCCAAGAGCACTCAGTTAAGAAAGAAAATCAAAAGTAAAAGCTCAGGTTAGAGGAAGGAAGTCAGGTTTAGAAGTATGTACTCGGAAAGAATCCTGAAGTAGTTTATAGAATTGCAACACTGCTATTCAGAAACATGTAGCTTAAGACAAACAATTGGCCTAAATCTACACTCAGTTACCTCACTGCAAAACTATAGGCTTCAATGACACTGCACCTTTGCAGCTAAAGGCAGAATTAAGTCTTTTATTTTTGCAGTAAAGTTCTAGTATAGTTTAAAAGTACAATTAATAGAAATATGGGCACAAGTAATAGTAACTTAATGTGAAATCTAGGCATCCGATTTCATGTCTCTTCTTGTAAGTGTGGAAACTTGCAAAACTAAGAGCCACAAAAATACAGAAGTATCTGTAAGTACAACAGAATGCTAGCATGTTTGCAAATTTCGGTCTTCTGAAAATATAATTTACTTGCGAAAAGATCAGTATTCTAGTCAAAACAAATCATTTAAAATGTGGCAAAGCTTTTACTTTAAAAAAAAATAGACTCCATTTTGCATTGCAAACACACACATCTGGAATGCTATCTGAATCTTCATTGTGTTGTGTCTAGTTTTATGAAATGTTATGGTGAATTGCATTTGTGTGTAGGCATTTTGTAGATCTCTCCACCAATCAGTGTGGATTAAAGCCAAAATTCTTAAATGTATGCAAGAGGCTGGTCTGTAAAAGAACAGTATGTTGCCAACATTTTTGCAACTGCAAGTATGAGTTTAAAATCAGCACTGTATATTCTCTTTGTATGCGACCTCAGACAAAGTATGAGCACTTATTAAATTGGAAGAAATGTGAGTTGAAATAACTGATTTAGTTGTATATCATAAAATACTTTATAACAGGAAGAATAAAACTATAAGCTACTATAAAACTCTGGCTAGTCTACAAGCAACTTGTACTGTTCTGTATTGCCAGACTTCTGGGAAGAACAGTGCGGGCTAAAACTAGCTTTTGTTGCTTCTCCAGTGGCCATGAAGTGCCAGATTCAGTGTTTTAGAACCACCTTCTTCCCAGAGGTGTCATCTGTGATTCCCCAGCTGATCACCATTTATAGCAAACTTGGTTCTTGGGAATGATGCCAGGAAATTCTGAGCATGTTCATTGAGTCCCCAGATGTCCTAATGCAGTATGGATGCTTTAGTCAGTCAGCTAGAATTAAACTTTAAAGGTACACTGTCACTTAAACATCATCTCTCTAAATGGTTAATTTACTGTCTTCACAAGTAACTGTTAAGATTACAGTAACTAAAAGATTAAGAGGCATTTTTTTGGTTTACTTTGTGCCTTTGACTAAACTTTGTGTAGTCATTTTCTCCTCCTCCTCCCCAGCATGTATAGGCATTTTTCACAGCAACAAGGGAGAGAGTGATATTACAAATCCACAGTAACTGGCAGGAGGAATTGTTTCTACCACTGCTCCCTACTTAGATACATCTTGTAACCAACAGTCTTAAATTCATAAAGGGTAAAAAAAAAAAAAATTCAAAAGCAATTAAGTGAGGTAGGAGCCTTTTTGAAAAATTTGACCAGTTTAAATGGCCGTGACCAAAGCTGAACTTCACCCTTGCTGACTGCTCAGTTATTACGTCTTCCTCTTTATAATCAGGTTAAAAAACCCATGGACAAGCTCATTAACCCCTCCAAAAATGATCAAATGCAGGACCCTTCCAATATAATAATGATCCGGGATTTCCCATTTCTACTATTATATTCTACACTCAAGCACTGTACACACTCCCGAGTACCTTTTGTGGACTCTTACCTCTCTTCTGAAAGGTCAGCTTTGTGTAGCTGAGAAAGCCATGGATTTCGCTGGATTGGGTCAATCTGCTGCAATTCATACTTTTGAGTACTGAAATGATTCAATGCCTAATCCTTGTGTGATCCAGACTGTTGGATGGAGGCAAAGTATTGATCTGTTTGATCAAATCTTTAAAAAAGGAATAGATGTCAACTCTGTGTTAATTCTGAATTTTAGTTCCCTTATCTACAAAATGTGAACTTGTTGATTGTATATAACCAAATGGCTATTTAATTTCCTTAAACTTTCTCTTTATAGATAATTGGTTGCCATTTCAGGACTATTCCAGTGAATGAAAAGGATACCTTAACATATTTCATCTACTCAGTGAAGAATGACAAGAACAAACCAGATCTAAAGATGGACAGTGGTGTTCACTAGGATGGAAAAAATGGGACTAATACTCAAGTTGCAGATCTAAAGACTGTTTTTGACATGCAGAAGCTTTCTTTGTAACTTTTTTTTCAGAGAACTTGTCTCTGATCTTATTTTTCATGGTCTTGCTGACTCACTGAAAAACAACTTCCTCTAAAATGAGATTTCCTCAGCAAAAGTATTTTAAATAAATATTATTAATACTGTTGCTCAAGTGTTCGTGTGTGTGTGTGTGTGTTTGTAACTTATTTAGTGAGTTATTTGTACCTAATAATAGTTTGGGTTTACCTACATATATTTAAAGTTATTAAAAATATTGTTTTTTTGTTTGTTTGTTTTTCAATTATAGAAGTATGCTAAGGATTAGTGTGTGAAATGTGTTTTGAAATCATCACACCACAACATGGTTTCTATATAGTATAAAATTTTGCTGTGATAAATTCTAAACATAGTTGCTCCAAACAGAAGGGCCATAATAGAATTGCTCTTGGCTTCCTGAATAGCAGTGACACTTGTAGTTGTTATAAGTCATCAGTATAAATGGCTGCACTTGTATTTTCTTTTAGAAGTCTGGTATGCAAAGATCTTAACAGAGGGTTTTTTGAGATCTCTAGTTTCTTCACTTCTGGGATATGCACTGCTAAGCCTCAGGACCATCATGCTACTATATAAAAATGATGGCAGCTATTTAGTGCTCAAATATCCACATGAAGATTGAAAGACTATCATCATTTATAATGGAAAACTTCTGGTTCTTTGAACAATGATTCTCTATTGATCTACATATGCTACTACCTAGAAATTGCATTGGAGAAAGGAAGGCTGCGGAACTCATGCTGTGTTTCAATATTATTTAATAAACATACTGTGTCTTGCTCCGGTGAGGTCTGCATTAACTCACGGCTGGAAAATGCATAAAGATCATTAATTTAAAGAATTGTTACCTTTTACATATAGCACTTGCATCTAAATGTATATATTTTAGTAAAGTTTACAACATTGAGTGACAGCTATGATACAACACAAAACCTCCTGTATTTCCACTGAACCCTTATGAGAACAATGAAGTTCTGGATGACGTGCAATTTTCTGCTTTGTCTTCTGAGCTGTGAGGAGAAACAAGTGAGATGGCATCTTAAAACTGAGAAGAATGCAGCATCTCTCTATGTTCACTGAGGCATGGTTGATATAAAACTCTGAACATAACTTTTTGATCACTGATGAGCTACCTTCACTTTAAGAAAAATGTGTGAAAGTAATATCATTGTTTACTCCGTCCCACATGCTGCTAGATATGGTGATTTAGCAGGTTCTCGCTGTTCTCAAAAACTTGCTTTTATTCCTATGTGGTTCTTTGTTTTTCCTTACCTGGAGCCCTTCATTGATGGAAATAATCCCCACGCTCAAACTGGCTGTTTTCCCAGTAATTAGCAGTGACGTAATTTCTTTTGCATTTGCAATGTCCTATGAATTTTCACACTCTTGATCAAACTTCGGCCAGCACTGTACAACCAGACATAGCTCTTTGCCTGAATTCAGTACTCATACTCATGGACCTTCTCTTCTAATGTGTGCGTTCATTGTAATGTTTGTAAAGTGCTTTGAAAACTAAGTATTACCTTGAATGACACCATCCTACTGATGGAAATAGAGTAAGTTAAATTCAGTAAGATAATAAGTAGGATGCCCAAAATGTGGATGTATTTAAGCTTCTATTGCATTTTAATCATATTACACATGAAAGGGCTTGAAATATCCTCTTGGATACTTGACGGGTGAGTGGAAACTTTCCTTGGTGCAAGAGGGAGCCAAAAGCCTAAGTTTTAACAGAAACTAAACTTCCAGTCTTAAGCTTCTGTTCTTAAAAAACAAAACATTGTTTCTGGCTCTTAATACTGTGGCAATTATAACCTCCTGCATGAGAGAGGATGTGGTGCTGTCTTTTTGAAGCTGCAGCTTGCAGAGCCTTCCCCAACCAGCAGTAGAAGAAGGAAATTGGTGAATTTCACAGAACTGGTCAATTTTACTGCCACATTCAGAATGCTGTATGAAGATGTGAAGGTGACAATTGTCAGTTTTGCTGCTACTGCTTTGGAAAGTTGTGAGCAGCAGAGGCAAGCATAGTGTAATTCAGGTAGAACCTGGAAGAGGAAGGAGAAAGCTTGTCTCTCCACACCTTGCTGATAGATGGCAGGACAAGGCCTTCAAGCTTTCCAGGCAGCCCTTGGTTCAGCAGGTCTTATTTGTATCTGCAGAGATTAACAGTTTGTTGTCTCTGGACTCTGCTCAGGGCTTCTTTTTTGCATAGTTTGATCAGGCTGTGGGAAAACCAGTGAATGAGGGACAGGTAAACTGAGACTTTCTAAAAAATTGCATCTGTCCTGCAACTGGTCATTGTGAAACTATTTGGTGCAAGTCACTTAATAAACATAATTGATTAATTGAATACACATTTATTATCATTTGCATATAGTCCAGCAAACACTCAGACCAACTAGGTACAAGATTACAATCATCCAACCATTATAGATGGCAAAGTTTCTGAACATATTTTGTATTTGATACAAAGTTGTCATGTAAGTGAAGTATGGTTGTCTATTAGGTAATAGTGATTTTTTTTTTAATGCTATGTAATTTACATAAAATGACTACTGCAGAAAGTGTCATTGAAAAAGAATAGCACAAGATAGCTATATTAAAGTTTCATATTTTGCACTAGATATTTTCACACTTTTCCATCTGATTAACTTGGTAGCTCTAGGAATTACCATATGTTAATGAAAAGAAACATTTAATACTTATGGCATACAGCTTTCATTGGTGTACATGCTTAGAAGGCTAGTCTCTGTGTCTAATTACATACCTGTCTTTTCCTAAAGGGCTATATTAAAAATAGGGAACTAGCATTTTAAGTTACTACTGAGATGTGCTATAGTTCAAACGAGGCCTGACTCAGGGCCCATTGTCTTCCAAAGATATTGGATCAGGCTCATCACCAGTAGCTGTTTTACTGAATATATACATTATAGCAGCTGGGTACTAAATACCAAAAGTGCAAAGAGGAGTTTAAATAAGGCCCCATTATAAATAACTATTTTGTGAATTTAGAGTCCAATTGTGTTTCCATGGAAGCTAGTGGGAGTCTTGCTATTGACTTCAAGGGGATTAACAAGCTTTTTAGACCAAGATATTCAAAAATAGATGTAAAAAGTTAGGGTCCTCAAACCTTATATTTAGGCACCTAAATAAGTGACCTGATTTTCAAAAGTGCTGAACGCACAGCAGCTCCCACTGATTTCAATATTACTTTTTGTTAAAGTAATGAAGACTTATTGATATGAAACTGCAGTACAGTGAACTGCTACTAAGGGCTTCAATGGGAGTAAAACAGTGTAGTGAGGTGCTATAGTGCCTTATAGCATCTGAAAATTTGATCCTAAATCTTTGAGAGGTGGAATGACAACACCAGATCTTTTGAGACTGTCTGGGTTGCACAATGAATTAAGGAGGTTCTACTGCACCCCTCTTAAATCCTTCTAATGAAAACTAATGTAGCTACCAAGTTAGAAAGAAGAGCTTTACCATTAAAGCTTCAAACCATGGTTCCTTCTATATACAGAAAGGGAAACATATACTACTTGATACAGTAAGGCTCTGCACTCTAGTGCTGTAGAAAGGAATAGATTTTCTATGACAACATTGTTTATCTCCTGTTGTGAAGTCCTGTGTGTGTCTTCTCACTGGTACACATGATGCTCATCATTGATTGTTGCAAGGGATGACAAAAGAGATCTTTGGTCCAAAGAAAATACCTCTGAAAGAAATTATCAGGTATTTCAGTTTTAAGGTCATCATAAATTATCAGAAACTCTAAAATGAAACCCATCTACAACTGCTTTGCTGTTTTTTGTTTTTGGTTTTTGGTTTTGTTTTGTGTTTAAATACAAACCTGAAGAAGTGCACAAGCTTCAGTGTCAGTAGAAACTAAACTTCTGACAGGTGGAAATCCTCGTTCCACTGAAGTCAATGGCAAAACTGCCAAGCACCACAGTGGGGCTAGGACTTCATCCCGGTGGCATAATTTCAGTTTTATTGAGATAAATTCTAAAAAAGATGCATAGGAAATGTGCACATACACAGTTAAGTGAGGCTTTTGTACTGAACTCCAAGGTGAGGGTCTTTTGTGGTATGCAAAGAGATCTTTTGTATTGTAGTCTAGTAAAAGCTTTCTTTATCTAAGATTTTGAAGGCTTGTGAGTTAGCAAGTAAATACTGTGCCTTATCTAGGTACCTGCAGTGATTTTGGAGGGAATGGGAAATATGAAAAGTTGCTCTTACTTATTTATGAAAGTTGCTGTTAAACCATGCCCCCTAGTTTAAAAGGAAGTGGGTTGCTGGCAGAGTGATTTTGGAATTCATTCCCACATAGCCTGATTTATTAACCCTTCAGACATGCTGAAAAGCTCCTCTTTAGGACATTTCAGGAGAGGGTGAGTTGAGAAATACAGGTGATCAGTGCAGGGATCATCCCGGTTACTGTGGCATAGTAAGGACAGGCTAATATGATTTTATTGTTTGTAGGTTTTAGTTATTCTAGAGCACCTGGAGCAAAGGGTGTGGTCTTTAACGTTGAATGAAATAAATATTTGTTAGGAAATACTCTTACAAAGCAATGACATTGGATATGGTAATATAGGGGAAAATATGCCATTATAAACCTAATGAATAGAGCTGAGTGGAGGATGGAAATTCTGTGTAATAAAGGACTTTGAAATTTGGCTTCATTCAGAATTGGGGGGGGGGGTGTCTGAAAACTGTGACATTCTTCCAAAAGAAAATTCAGGGGGGAAATTGTTTCCATTTTGGCGTTTTAAATTTTTATTATATAGTATACAAAATAAAGATTTTGAAACAAAGTAATTTTAAAACAAACAAAAAAATAAAACGTTTAATTCCAAAAATGGTGAAGCAGCATGTTTGGACATTGTCAGAATTTTTCCCTGAAATGAAGTTTTTGGGAAATTGACATGATTTCACAAATCATTTAGATTTTGACTGAATTGTTCCACTAAAGTTTTTCCAACAAGCTCTGCTAATGAACATTGAGAGTATTTGTCACTATCCTTCATTGTTAATGTATAACACTGTCTATGACACTACAAGTAGAGGTGGGGGAAGTGTTGGGGTTTTTAGGTGACTTCTGAATGCTTTTCAATTCAGCTTTTTTCCCCATTCACTTTTCTGCAGACTTTTTATTGTAAATGTCTCTCTTGCAGTAGTTCAACTTATTTAGATGAAATATCTGCACCCACTAATATACAGAGGCAATGACATATTTTACCATGCAGCAAGAACTTTAGGTCTTTCTCATCTCTTTTGAAAAACTGGTCTTCACTAATGGGTGCTGAAATTATTGGCTGAAAAATCAAGGGATTAGTTCAAAGAGCCCAATTTTTATATGTCCTGGGTCAAGTAAGTAAAGAACAAGGGGCAAAATTCAGCCTACTATAAACTCACTGAAGTAAATAATGTTACATCAGGTCTGTAGTGGGATGTGTGATTTAATACTTTAAGCAAACACAATGTCAATCTTCCCCTTTACTTTAAAAAAGCAAATGAAATGATAAGAAAATGGCCAAATCTTGGTCTAACTTCTAAGCTTGATAAAATGATTCATTTATTTGAAACGAAAGCTGGTCCCTTAAGTAGTAGTCCATACTACAGTGAAATGTAATGAGCACTTGTTTAAATCCATAGAAACATGTAAAATTCTATGTAACAGAAAGTTGCCTTACTTTGGGCAGCAGAGTAATTCACTAAAATTGCAGTAACAGATCATCTCACAACTTTGCCCTTCCCAGAAGTGGTCTTGAAGATTTCCATCAATGCGTCGAAGACTGGCCACACCTTCTGGGATGCTGTGACAGTTGCGATCTTTTAGCACTTTCTTGTAACAAGAAAGTCGACTGAAAGGCATCATGTTAGTACCAAGCAGCATGCTCAGCAAAACAAGAGCTGATAGAATCTTCATTTTCATCATTCCAAAGCTTGCTTTTGACAGGAGTGCTAATGAGAAAAGAGGCACATTAGACATGTATTGATGCTGAATAGATCAGTTTTTGTGCAGGTTGCTTAATTCATTTCTCTAGCTTCCATTCAATTTATCCTGAGGATTTTTGGGAGTTGGACCACTGTGCTGGAGAGGATTATTTCCCAGGAGATAGAAGGTATTGCTACTTCACTGTTGTGGAGTTAACTTTCACTGCCCTCTCTGCACCCTATTCTTATTTCTCATGAATTGAGCCTTTTATTGCTGGCAGTTTTGATGTTTCTTTTGCTTTTCTCCTTCAGGAAATTGCTTTGAGAGAATTAGACCAGCTCACTGGTATGAATGTCTACTTTCATGTAGTTGTATATGTTTGGAGCATAATAACGTTAACAAAGCAGTGTGGAAATTTTCAGATACATTTCCCCAGTTTCTTGATGCTTTTTGGCTCTTTTAAATCATTACAAAATTATGATGACTCTACTGAAGTTGCTTCATCCTTATTCTACCTATTTCTCCCAAATGTGGTAGAAATTACATGCTAGCATGACCTACTAAATGTATTATAATAATAGAATCATAGAAGATTAGGATTGGAAGAGACCTCAGGAGATCATCTAGTCCAATCCCCTGCTCAAAGCAGGACTAACCCCAACTAAATCATCCCAACCAGGGCTTTGTCAAGCTGGTCCTTAAAAACCTCTAAGGATGGAGATTCCACCACCTCCCTAGGTAACCCGTTCCACTGCTTCACCACCCTCCTAGTGAAATAGTTTTTCCTAATATCCAACCTAGACCTCCCCCACTGCAACTTGAGACCATTGCCAGAGCCAATCAGAGGGGGGGCCAGGAGGGCCATTTGGCCTGGGCCTCAAGCTCAAAGAGGGCCTCAAATGTAGACCCTTGTTAATTTTTTGGCATTTGATAAGTTTCACAACTTGTTTTTATGCACATCCCTATCGGACCAAAATGTGACTCTCTGTTTAGAGCTGCAAATTTAAGCAAATAAGAGATGTGATTTGGTAAAAGACAATTTTTTGGTTAACTGATATAGATTTTGACATATTAAAGAGTTAAAAATGTTCATAAATACTAATAAAAATATATCGGTTCTGATGGCACAAGATTAGACTGTGATGAACATGTTGTCTCAAATCAGCTGATTATATAAACAAACCACTACTAGTGGCTGGTGCTGGATCAAGTGCATGTTGAAATGTAGAGAATTGTTACATTTAGTGTCTTTATAGTTTACGTCTAGTTGACTAAGGCCTGGTCTACACTACGAGTTTAGGTCGAATTTAGCAGCGTTAAATCAAATTAAGCCTGGATACGTCAACACGACAAAGCCCTTTTTTTCGACTTAAAGGGTCCTTTAAACCGGTTTCTTTACTCCACCTCCGACGAGGGGATTAGCGCTGAAATCGGCCTTTGCGGGTCGGATTCGGGGTAGTGTGGACGGAATTCGACGTTATTGGCCTCCGGGAGCTATCCCACAGTGCTTCATTGTGACCGCTCTGGACAGCACTCTCAACTCAGATGCACTGACCAGGTAGACAGGAAAAACTCCGCGAACTTTTGAATTTCATTTCCTGTTTGCCCAGCGTGGAGAGCACAGGTGACCACGCAGAGCTCATCAGCACAGGTAACCATGATGGAGTCCCAAGATCACAAAAGAGCTCCAGCATGGACCGAACAGGAGGTACGGGATTTGCTCGCCATATGGGGAGATGAATCAGTGCTAGCTGAACTCCATAGCAGTAAACGAAATGACAAAATATTAGAAAAAGTCTCATGAATTTTTGCATGCACATTTATCTTAATGAGTAGCCCAACTTAAATATTCTTTTAATTTATAAAGTGTGCTCATTAGACCTCAGGGACCATGTCTAATATTTAAAAGATTGCATTATTTTCACTAGTTCTAGCCAATGTGCCAAATAATAATAAATTCCTCTTTCCTTCAAATAAGGTAAACATCGACCCACCTTTGCCTAAAGTTAGATTTTGGACTCAAGTATGGTGTATGTTTGTACAATAGTTTTTATTCTAAATCAGTTTTCCCAGCACTAAACAGTACATAAGTGAATCCTGCTTAAATGAGTTTATAGTCTAAGGAGGACAGGTGTGGACACATTCTACCCTGGTTAACACGAAGGGCAGTCTCAAAGTAGTCCAAGTTTTTTTCATTGAATATATAATTTAAGCGTTTCATAGAAGAAAAAGGTGTTAAAGGTGATGATATTGCATGGTACTACACCTAAAAAAATATGGGACCTGATTTTCAAAGTTGGCCTCTGTTTTTCTAGTCCCAATGTAACTAGTTGTGCCATATTTTGTATCTGTTATAAATTGCAGGCACAAATAAGATCTTTAACTACTGAACTATTTGTGTCTGTAAGTCTAGGATGACCAGATGTCCAGATTTTATAGGGACAGTCCTGATTTTTGGGTCTTTTTCTTATATAGGATCCTATTACCCTCTACCCTCTGTCCTGATTTTTCACACTTGCTGTTTGGTCACCCATTGTAAGTCAGGTACATAAGTCTGTTATGCCTCTGGAGATTTCCATTACTTGCATCTGAAGAAGTGAGGTTCTTACCCACGAAAGCTTATGCTCCCTATACTTCTGTTAGTCTTAAAGGTGCCACAGGACCCTCTGTTGCTTTTTACAGATTCAGACTAACACGGCTACCCCTCTGATACTTGACACCATGCAAGGCACTGCATTTAGCCGTATGGAATGGAAATCTATCAACCTCATGAAGAAACTTGCACAAATACAGACAGATATCATCTTCCTTTCCAAATGCAAATGGATGGACATCATACCAAATGGACTGAAGGTGAAAAATCCATTGCTATCTACATACTGCACAGACCACAATGAGAGATTATGCCATACACTATCAAAGAAACTGAGGAACCACCTGATCAGCATCCTATACAGCAAACAGAAAAACATCAAGAAAGAGCTCTCCAACGTGGAGACTTTCATAAATAACCCACCCTCCACACAAATGGACTTTACTAAAATAAGACAGGAGATCTACATTACACACTTCACCTTTCTACAAAGGAAAAAGGACCGGAAGCTGTCTAAAATCCTACCTACCACATGGGGCCACAACAGGGGTACCCCTAACTCACTCAGCAATATCGTCAATTTATCCAGCTACACACTCAACCCAGCAGAAGAGTCTGTCCTATCTCGGGGACTCTTTTTGCCCCAGCACCCCCACGAACATGATACAGTTCTGCGGTGATCTGGAAGCCTACTTTCGCCGCCTCCGACTCAAAGAATACTTTCAAGATAACACTGAACAGCGCACTGATACACAGATATCCTCCCACCAACAACACTGGAAGAAGAACTCCACATGGACTCCTCCTGAGGGTCGAAATGACAGTCTGGACCTATACATAGAATACTTCCGCCGACGTGCACAGGCAGAAATTGTGGAAAACCAACATCGCCTGCCTCATAACCTAAGTCGTGCAGAACGCAATGCCATCCACAGCCTCAGAAACCACCCTGACATTATCATCAAAGAGGCTGATAAAGGAGGTGCTGTTGTCATCATGAACAGGTCTGACTACCAGAAGGAGGCTGCCAGACAACTCTCCAATACCAAATTCTACAGGCCACTTTCCTCAGATCCCACTGAGGAATACACTAAGAAACTGCACCATCTACTCAGGACACTCCCTACACTAACACAGGAACAAATCAACATACCCTTAGAGCCCCGACCGGGGTTATTCTATCTACAACCCAAGATCCACAAACCTGGAAATCCTGGACGCCCCATCATCTCGGGCATTGGCATGCTCACTGAAGGACTGTCTGGATATGTGGACTCCCTACTCAGACCCTACGCCACCAGCACTCCCAGCTATCTCCATGACACCACAGATTTCCTGAGAAAACTACAATGCATTGGTGACCTCCCAGAAAACACCATCCTAGCCACCATGGATGTAGAGGCTCTCTACACAAACATCCCACACACAGATGGAATACAAGCTGTCAGGAACAGTATCCCTGATGATGACACAGCACAACTTATTGCTGAGCTCTGTGACTTTATCCTCACGCACAATTATTTCAAATTTGGTGACAATATATACCTCCAGACTAGTGGCACCGCTATGGGCACCCGCATGGCCCCACAATATGCCAACATTTTTATGGCTGACCTGGAACAACGCTTCCTCAGCTCTCGTCCACTCACACCCTTTCTCTACCTACGCTACATTGGTGACATCTTAATCATCTGGACCCATGGGAAGGAGACCCTGGAAGAATTCCACCATGATTTCAACAGCTTCCACCCCACCATCAACCTCAGCCTGGACCAATCTACACGGGAGGTCCACTTCCTAGACACTGCAGTACAAATAAGCGATGGCCACGTTAACACCACCCTATACCGAAAACCCACTGACCGCTACGCCTACTTTCATGCCTCCAGCTTCCACCCCAGACACACCACACGATCCATCGTCTACAGCCAAGCACTGAGGTACAATCGCATCTGCTCCAACCCCTCAGACAGAGACCAACAAGATCTTCACCAAGCATTCTCAAAACTACGATACCCACACAAGGAAATAAAGAAACAAATCAACAGAGCCAGACGTGTACCCAGAAGCCTCCTGCTACAAGACAGGCCCCAAAAAGAAACCAACAGAACTCCACTGGCCATCACCTACAGTCCTCAGCTTCAACCTCTCCAACGCATCATCAGTGATCTACAACCCATCCTGGACAATGATCCCTCACTTTCACAGACCTTGGGAGGCAGGCCAGTCCTCGCCCACAGACAACCCGCCAACCTTAAGCATATTCTCACCAGCAACCACACACCGCACCATAACAACTCTAACTCAGGAACCAACCCATGCAACAAACCTCGATGCCAACTCTGCCCACATATCTACACCAGCAACACCATCACAGGACCTAACCAGATCAGCTACAACATCACCGGCTCATTCACCTGCACGTCCACCAATGTTATATATGCCATCATATGCCAGCAATGCCCCTCTGCTATGTACATTGGCCAAACTGGACAGTCACTACGCAAGAGGATAAATGGACACAAGTCAGATATCAGGAATGGCAATATACAAAAACCTGTAGGAGAACACTTCAACCTCCCTGGCCACACAATAGCAGATGTAAAGGTAGCCATCTTACAGCAAAAAAACTTCAGGACCAGACTCCAAAGAGAAACTGCTGAGCTCCAGTTCATTTGCAAATTTGACACCATCAGATCAGGATTAAACAAAGACTGTGAATGGCTATCCAACTACAGAAGCAGTTTCTCCTCCCTTGGTGTTCACACCTCAACTGCTAGCAGAGCACCTCACCCTCCCTGATTGAACTAACCTCGTTATCTCCATACTGATTTATACCTGCCTCTGGAGATTTCCATTACTTGCATCTGAAGAAGTGAGGTTCTTACCCACGAAAGCTTATGCTCCCTATACTTCTGTTAGTCTTAAAGGTGCCACAGGACCCTCTGTTGCTTTTTACAGATTCAGACTAACACGGCTACCCCTCTGAAGTCTGTTATAGGTTGTGCAAAATTGCCCCTGTAGAAAGAGTAGTTAGATCAAATCCTGAGTGAAAATTAGGCCCTTATGACAGCGTGCATCTCAAAAATAATTTATTTTGTAGCTCTGTTAAAAGTATGACTAACTTTTTAAAGAAATCCTTATGCTGTGTCCTAGACTCTGTCTCTAGACTGCTAAAGATAGCAGGTTCCAAAGGCCACGGACCTCAACTGAAAATACCCTGTTGCTGATCCAGGAATGTTGGCTCGCACTTCCAGGTGTGGGTATCAAGAATGCCTTACTGGCTCTCAACTGCCACAGGACACATGGCAAGAGATCGCAGGTAAATCGGTCCCAGATCTTTTAAAAGTTCAAAGATAACTACATCTTGAATTGCACCTAGAACTGAACTGGCAGCCTGTTCAGAGTATAAAGCAGAAGTGTGTGGAAGGGCCTGCATCAGCTAATGGCCTACAAAGCCATCCCTTAACAGTGTGTTATAATAATGCATAGAGAGGAGTCTGACATGGATAACTGTGACAAGTTCAGCATCATTCAGGAAAGGTCATAATCTCCTGAACAACCGTAGACAGAATAGTGGACTAGAGGGCACTGGCGTTGCATGACAATTCATTTTATTTATTTTATAACCTGTCTGGTATGTCTAGTATTCAAACGTTTACCCATTGTTTCTCTTGCACTGAAGTGTGTCCTCTTTAAATGCTCTATTTTCACAGATACTAATTTACATAAAACTCATAATCAAAGAGCTTCCTTCAAAAAAGGTTTGTCCTGGAGGAAATGCTATTTTCAGATTGAAAACTGCAAAGGGGAGTGTGACGGGTTGGATCACAGAAACCCCCTTGGGAGCTGCCACCTGATGTACCAAGACTACCCCTGCTCCTGTTTTCCCTGCCAGCTCAGGACTCCAGCACCCTGTCTTGCTGAGCCAGACACTCCCATCTGCTCCAACACAGACCCAGGGTCTGAATAACTTGCCCCAAAGCTGCAAGTTTACCTGAAAACAGCTCACAGAAGTGTGCTTGTCTTTAGAACTCAGATGCCCAACTCCCAATGGGGTCTAAACCCAAATAAATCCGTTTTACCCTGTATAAAGCTTATACAGGGTAAACTCATAAATTGTTCGCCCTCTATAACACTGATAGAGAGATATGCACAGTTGTTTGCTCCCCCAGTATTAACACATACTCTGAGTTAATTAATAAGGAAAAAGTGATTTTATTAAATGCAGAGAATAGGATTTAAGTGGTTCCAAGTAGTAACAGACAGAACAAAGTAAGTCACCAAGTAAAATAAAATAAAATGCGCAAATCTATGTCTAATCAAACTAAATACAGATAAGTTCCTCACCAGTTCCAGAATGCTCCCTTTTACAGGCTAATCTCCTTTTAGCCTGGGTCCAGCAATCACTCACACCCCCTGTAGTTACTGTCCTTTGTTCCAGTTCCCTTCAAGTATCCTGGAGGGGTGGAGAGGTTCCTTCCTTAGCCAGCTGAAGACAAAATGGAGGAGTCTCCCACAGGTTTAAATAGACTCTCTCTTGTGGGTGGAGACCCCCCTCCTATGCAAAGTCCAGCTCCAAGATGGAGTTCTGGAGTCACCTGGGCAAGTCACATGTCCCTGCTTGACTCAGTCTTTACAGGCTGAAGCCATTGTCCACATGGTATCTTGTATGTCTCCAGGAAGACTTCTTATGTGGATTGGAGCATTCCAAGATGCATTGTTCCCCAAGTGCTTCCTGATCAGGTACTTAACCTTGCAAATTCTTTCCTAAAGAAACTGATCAAATGCCTCACAAAGCTTACTTAGAAACCAAGCAAGTATACAGCCCATATTCTTAACCTCAAGTAGAAAATGATATATGTGTACAGATAGGATGAATAGATATAGTAGACCATAACCTTTACGGAAATATATTACATGGCACAGGCAGCACAAAACATATTCCAGTTATGTCATATATACATTTATAAGAACACCCCCCCCATAAAGCCTTATGGGGTACACTGTCACAGGGAGTGTCCAAGATCATGGAGGCTATAGCTTTGTCAATACAGCACTCCACTGTGTGGAGATAAGGGAAGAGATGGTAGTGGCTTGGCGGAGCTTCTATACAGTGCAATATATGGAATACCCTCAGACTCACCAACTACTGGTATGAACTCTTTCCTTATGCTGTTAAACTAGTACTGTTGAGGTACCCATGAAGGTGGAAAGTTGCATAGCTGATGAAGAGTTGCTGGATGTAGAGTGAGTGTGTGTGTGTGTGTGTGTGTGTGTGTGTGTGAATAGGTATGTGGGGGTGTGTGTGTGTGCATTTTACAAAATAAGATACTCAAGTTTTCTCTGCCATCACCAAGTGCAGATAAAATTGCGTTGACACCTATCCAGCCAGTGAAATCTGCTGAACAAATTTCACACGGTTGAGTTGAACAGTTACCAGTAAGTAACCTTTCTTTCTGCGATACGTCTATTTCCTACCTCATTAAAAGGCACCAATGTCAATCACACCAAGCTCCAATAGGTGCAATCTATCAAGACTATTCAGTTTCAAGTTCCAACAGGGATAAAATCTCCTGAAAGTATTTGAAGCAAACTGCCCACATTTGCATAGGTCCTTTTTGATAAAATACTCCATTGATGGCATTTGACATTACATTGGTGAAAGAAGTTAAGACAGGGAAACAATTTCAGTGTCACAAAAATACCTTTAGTTTACTGTATGACTGGAAAATAGACAGTTTGAGGGGAAGATCCCCTGATGAGTGAGGAATCATTGCTAAAGTTAACAGTGAAGTTCCTAAATTCTTGTTTTGCCTGGCAATTTGGCACTGCATATTCTTTGGAATGGTTAGATCCACAGGGAGATTTTTTTTTTTTTTAATTCTCTGACTCAATGGCCAAGACAAACAGAGCTATGTTTCTTGAGAATATTAATACTGCTGTAAGTCCCATGCAAGCAGCTGCTGTCAGTAATGAGCACTAGGGGTATGGGTAGGCAATAGAAATAAGGAAAAGTGTGAGTGAATGAAACTAAAAATTTAGTTAGATATTTTTTCCTTTAAATCAGTTTCTCGGACTTTCATATTTGGAAACAAATGTGTAAGCTATATATGTACTGAACTTTAAATGTACACATATTTATAGTTAGTTGTCAAGAATTCTATAGCGTCTCTAGCTGCTTCATCTTGAAAATGAAAGATACTTCATTGTAAATGGTTCTCTGTCTTCTTATGGTCCTTTACAGTCATACAGGAGGTATATCCTACATTAACAGACTAATCAATTAAGTTCAAAGTGCAATAATAGTTTTATTACTATGCAGATAATATATTTAGATATCTTCACAATGGGTGTACAGTTCAAGAGTTAAAAGTAACTCTGTTAGCAACACCATTCAAAATGCAAAATTCCCTTCACATCATTTAGCAGTCATCTGTCAAACTTCCCTAGTCCAAAATACCTTCAAAAGGCTGAACTGATGACATTTACTGGTCAGACTTGCGACTTGTTAGATGCAGCCTTTGGAAATCATTAAACAACATCTGCAGAATTGGGGTATCACTTGATATATGACATATGTGTGAGTTTTAGAATTAAATAAGTTTGAAGAAGCATTTCTCAAAATTAAAAAAACAAAACAAAAACCAAAAAAACGGACTTTTGCCCGAACAGTCAGTACATTGTGAACCATGGTAAGGACAGCAGCTACTCCACTGAGGATGAATTCAATGAATTACCTCTTTGTAAAACCCATCAATACCATGTTTCTTTCCAGGAATTGGGTTTTCATGAAGACCCATTTAGTTTCCCTAAAGACAGCAGCTCATTGTGAAAACACTTCTCTTCACATCCACCAGTTTTTGCAATAATGTTGAATGCATGAAAATAGTGGACGATAGTAGAAAACTTACTATGAATTGTGGTGACATCCAACTTTATAAAGAAGAGTAACATGTTAAAAAGTATTGTTTTTTTTTCTTTCGCTGAATAAATTAAACTGGATTTATCTCCTCACATCTGTCCTGCAACACATCATTTGCTCACAGTGAATGTCAACCTTCCCAAAGTGCCTCCTGCACATGCCGTTCATCACATGTAATTTATCTAGCTTTTCATCCTGTAACTAGCATGAAGGGGAACAAATAAATGAGGATAATTGCAGGAGCAAGACATACCTTTCTCTTTTGCCTCTCTCTCTCTCTCTCTCACTTTCTTGGCAGCTGTATCTTTTTAAATGTACAAGTTGAGAGTTGGAGCTAAAGGAGATGAGGAGAGGAAGGGCTGAAGGGAGGTGCTGTACAAATACCCCTTTGTCTGCCCTGGCTCCTGTCTGTGAGTGACAGTCTCTCTTATCCAGCCAGGGACGAGGGGGTGGGCTTTGAGAGCTACCTCTCTCAGCTAACGCCAACCCAGACAAGAAAGAAATGAACAGCTCCTTTCCAGCTGGAAACAACTAGTCCAAACAGGATTCAAAGAGAGGAAGCCTCCTCAGGGAGTAAAATACCTGCAGGAAAAAAATACTTCTTGGAAAGTTTTTTTCCTCTCTGTGATGGTGAAGTATGATTGGAAAAGTGTGTGTGTGTGTGTAAAGCAGCGGAGTGAGTGAAGCTGCCAGGATCATCTGGATTGGTAGGAGAGCATAGTTTGGTGAACGAATGCATTGTCCTAGCATATTTTCTAGTTGCCTTTTTCTCTTGTTTCTCTCATTGTGTCATAAAAATTCCCTTTGGGAGAAGTTTCATAAACAGCACCGATGATGAGGCAGGAAGACCCAGCAATGGAAACTTATGCAATGTTCACATGAAATAGCTTGGGTCATCCTTTGACTTCAGAGTTCTGTTTGTTCTGAAATTGAACTGACTGAGAACTGTAGTAATTATTTTAACTGGATTTCTGGTAATAGATGCACTGCCACACCTTCAGTGTATTGAGTTTGTTACTGGCAAAACATTTAATCACGTTGTAATGGTGAAACCAAGTACTTAGCCAATATTTCAGAAAAGCATATTGTGGAATAGTGCAATGGTGCCCTTAAAACCCTTTAATTGAGGTATTCAGACGAGTAGTTAATTTAAGTGGAAAAAGGTTTACATACAATTTACGTTATCATCTAATAATAACTAATTTAGGGGATAGATTGTTTAGCTTTAAGTCAAGACTCCTGTATTCTAGTCCCAAATCAGCCACTATGGACATCTTGGCTCTTTTTCGTGGTTTCATCAAATCTTGCCACTGTAATTTCTGTATCCCAGCTGTTTGACACTGGCTGGGTGTTGGCTTAGGGTAGATAAGATGGAATTGATGCTTATAGGCCTTCTGATAAAGGTTTCTAAACCACCTTAGCCATTTCATGTTTTAGTCTTTGAGCCATTTTAGCTCTATTACTGTTTTTCAGCTTTAGGTGTCAGTGGGTTTTCCTCATCTACTACTAGCCCAGAGGTTGCAACATTTCTTTTCTTTTCTGATGTGGAGCTCACCACAGTGATCCATGCCACAAAACTAGATTATTGTAATGCACTCTATTTGAGGCTACCCATGCAGAGCACAGGTAGTGTCAGCAAATGTAGCATGCACCAACCTGTCTCTTTTTAATGCAGTGAGATGTTATGGACCTGACTCTCCCTTACATTGCTATAAACCAACAGGAACACCACTGTAGTAATTGGAGTTATATAGAAATGATATTGTGATGAGAAGAGAATAAGATCTTGTATGTGCACATAATGCTATTCTTGCACACTGATTGCCTAGTCTCTTCTATGTGCAATTGGAGTAATTTTGTTATGAATGGTTTCATTTTGAAGGAGAGCACCTCGTTTTCTGATGTGCTGTCACAAGAAATAAAAATGTACTGGGGTCTTTTTGCTCCATTTCTGGGGTTCAGTTCTCTGGTGCTGGTAGCAGTATGTTCTCAAAGGAGGGTCCAAGCTTCTGGAACATGCTCCCACCAACAATCTACCAGAGCCTAGGTGTGATGAATCATGAGAAACCTGTTTGACCAAGTCTTTGGTGGACTGCTAATTTATTTTATAAGTAAGGTGTGGGTAGCTGTGATGGTTCTCAGGGCACCCAGGACTGTGTCACCTTATTACCCCCTGCATCCAGCACAAGGTTTTTTCTTGTTGTAGCTGGGTGTCAGCTCCCTAATACCATCAGTCTTTCAAGCACTCTCCTCTGGGCTATGCCAGCCCTAACTTTGCCTTGCACGTTAACACTAGGTGCACCCCAGCCTCTGACCCCTCTTGAATTGTTTCCCTTGATATCCACCCCTGACATTGGGTATTCACAGAAATTCCAAATCCTCTGCACCCAAAGGTGAGTAATTGGAGTTATATAGAAATGATACTGTGATATAGAAATGATACCCAAAGGTGCAGGGTAGCTCTGTTAATCAGTTTGACCCTAAGCCACTGGTCCTGTAAACCACTGAGCACTTATGATAAATCAAAGTAGGTCTGTTTAAGAAAGAATCAATAAAGATTTAACTAGAAACAAGAGAGAGTGATGGAAACAAATGGTTATAATATACAACAAAATCCTAAAACGCAAACCTGAGTCTATGCTCATCAACAGTTACCTTTTCTATCCAATAAAGTAGACCCCTGCCCCAAAGTTCAGTCTGTTGCAGAGCTGGCTAGTTTCTTATGAACCAGGATCCAAACTCTACAAGGGGTTTTCCTCAATGAATGGATACAGAGTGCTTCTCCCTCCCTTGTGATATACTGAAAACAGCCTTTTGTTTCTATTCTCTGACAGGGCAACCCCCCATCTGTTACCGGAAGATTTGTATTCAATTATATTGAACCAATTATATTACCCAACTACACTGCCTTTAGTTTAAAACCTTAACCTTTCATTTATCTAAACCAGTAACCAAGGTTGTGACCTTGGAATTTCCAAGATATTACCAGCGTGCTTATCTCTGACCCACAGAGGGCTCCCCAGAGCAAGCTAGTCTTGCTGACCCTTGAAATGACACGGATACAGCTCTCTGATCAAGAATAGGCACACAAGCAGTAATTTTCGAAATCAAAAATACTATTTATTTAGAAATGAGTGGTTACAATAAAAGAATAGAGATAGATATAAGGATAAGCAGCGCGGCAACAAAAAGGTAGACTCTATAACCATATACTTAACATATAACAATAAACAATCAACACTTAATACTAAACATCTAGTAAGTGCTGGCTGACTGGTTACTAGATGGGTAGGAGAAGATCTCACTCAGACCACAGACACACATCTTTATTTACAAACAAAACCCATAAGCTCTCAGATAATAAACAAAAGAAGATTAGACTTACAAGGGCTTTCCCAAAATCCCTCTGAAACCATCTTTGGTCCTTCTGATCTGTCAAACTTAGAGAGTGTTGTCTGCTGCTGCTGATGGTGAGTCACTGGCTGCTGTTGTGACTGCTGCTGGCTGCTCTGGAGGTAAATGCTGCCTGCTGGTGGCAGTTATGGAAGCCTGTGTGGCTGCTGGGGTAGCTGCTGCTGCTGCAGCACCCTGCTGGCTGGGTTGCTGGAGCAGCCATTGTCCATGGCAACCTTGGAATTCTGTGGTTGCTGGTGCTGCTGCTGCTCAGGTAGCTCTTCTTCATGAAGCTTCTTCTTTGTAGAGTACTATTGCTGCTGCTGCTGCCTCATGCAGATGGTTTCTTCCTTGCAGGTGTTTGCAGCTTCTTCTCTCTTCCAAGGTCCCTATCCAACTACAGGGTTTAGCCTATTGGCTGTCACCTTTATATACTGTTTGGTCACTCAAGATCAGCCAATCAGCCTCCAGAGATTAGCATATGCTAATTTTGCGACGCCCAGTCATGTGTATCTACCTGTGACAGGAAGTCTCATGTATCACTATGGGATTTTACTGAGTCATTCCCCACAGGAAGTGATGCAATACCATGCTTCTATTACATCATCCGGAAATGATGCAATACTGTCTCCTGATTGCATAATCCCTATACACTCCTATGGCCCTATGTATTCCTATGGGGTTTTTCAGATGACCTGTGGGTGACCCCTAACTACTTCCTGTTTAGCCTACTGGAAAATGAAATTGACCATTGCATCATAGGAAATGTAATTTCCTCATAGGTAATGGACCCCCTATGTTTCTTAGACTGGAATCTTCCACCACATCATCCCTATAGCTGCCATTACTGGATTTTCTATATTTAAACTATTATTAACTTCCATCTAATAAAAGCTTAAATTTTAAAACTAATTACTCTTGTAAGCATTCCAAGGGGGACTCTATCACCACTCTATAATTGTCCAACTAAGAGAATTATAATTTTTCCGATTTTAAACCCCCTCCCAAGGTTTTTCTGCAAACCTTCATTTAAGGTAATTTGAACAACTGAGGCAAAATCTCTCACTACACATCTTGTTGCAATGTTTCTTTTTTACCTTCAAGTAGTTTGATTGTTTGCAGTTACCTCTGATGGTTTTCTATTGAAAAACTTGGAATTGAGCATGGCTAAACAATTGAGCCTTGCATTGCATCACTGGCTAAATAGGGCGGCGTGACAGCTGCCCTCCCAACCCAAATGGGCCATCATCCCCTGGGCTAAATGGATATTATCCCTGGTGACCAATTTCTATTCCAAATCCATAAAGCTTACTTTCAATATAAATACATTAATCCTTAAATTTACTTGTATGTACAACTCACAAAGATTATGCATCTTGGCAAGTTATGAGCTTTCTGCAGATACCTTACATGTTATGTTATTTATGGATAAATAGCCTGTAAGACCTGTTTGGTGCAGGGAATTTGTCTGGTCTGAGGTGAGAGTGCTTTGCAAAGAACCGGGGACTCTTTGCCAAGAAGCGTCTGGGTCACAATAGGGTTATGAATGGGAAAGAGAAAAGAAAGTTGTAGCATAGCTGACAAGTTTTGAGTAGCTCCATGTGTGACATTGCCTGTCATTAAGAAATGGTCATCTATTATTCTTCATGGTGCCTCAGAGCAGTGGCGTGGGGGGTGGGCGAAGCTCAGACTGCAGCAGCTTAGGGGGCTGAGGAAAGCAGGGGCTCTGGAGAACCTGGAAAAGGCAGTAGGGAGTAGCGTATTGGAGTGAGTTAGGGCAGATTGGTGGGGGGGGGGAGGGGAGGTGGAGCTCAGGGCCTTTGTTTGGGGAGGGGCAGGAGAGCAGGCAGTTAAATAGAGAGTGAGGTGGTTGGAGTGGGGGGCAGAGAGTCTGGAGCATTGGGAGGATTGTTGGGGGAAGAGTGAGGCATGGAACAGGCATCCCATGTCTTTCCCTACTTCCCATTC